TAGTGTTCTATATGCTTCTTGTATTTGTATGGGCATGTCTTTCTTTAATTTGGGGAAATTTTTTTCCAAGGTCCTGTTGAAGATCTGTTCCATACCATTATCTTGATCTTCTTCTCCTTCCTGTATGCCTATGATTTATAAGTTTGGGTTTTTTATGGTGTCACACAGTTCTTGCATATTCCCTTCTTATGTGTTTTTAAAATTTTTCGTAATCTTTGCTTGAGTGGTCTAATTCGTCCACTTTATCTTCCAGTCTTGATATTCTGTTTTCCATTTTATTCATCCTATTGATGAGGCTTTCTCCTGTTGTTTCTATTTGGCTTACTGAGTGTTTCATTTTCTTCCTCTTCTTCATTTCAGCCTGAGTATTCTTCAATATTTCTCTTCTGAATTCATTCAGAAGTTTATCCCTATCTTCCTTCAGTTCTTTGATTTCTTTTTGTGTGTGTTCTTTAAATTCACTGAATTCTTTTATCATGTTTATAATTGTTCCTTTGAGTTCCATGTCCTGTGTTATCTCTAGAGAGTTGTCATTGTACTCCTGTAGAGGACTATTGGTACTTGGTGGGGATATGTTATTTTGGTTTTTCATGTTATTGTTTTTTTCTTTGTGACTTTGACTTGTGAATTTCCTTCGTAGTTTCTGATTCTTATGTGAGACTCAAGCCTTCCTTTGTTGAGTTTAGATCTGCTTCTTTTTGTAAACTTTATGTGCCTTTGTGGTTTACTTGTTGGGCATGAAAAGCTGGTTGGTCTAGGCTTCAGGTTCTTGCTTTTTATTTTATATTAGAGTGGCCTAATTGCTTTTGTCTTCAAGAGTTCACACAGAGGCCCAAGTGAGATGAGGCTCAAATGATATCAGGGTCCCTCCAGGAAAGATGCTACCCTCAAGATTTTGGGGGCTGGGCTGGCCTGGGAGAAGGCCTAGGGATAGATGCTGGTCTCAGGAAGTTGATGGCTGTGCCACCCAGGAAAGTAAAGGAATGTGAGGGCAGGACCAGGCCCAGAGAGTTTCTGGGGATGGTAGGCAGGAACTGGGTTGGTCCAGATGCAGAGGATCAGGAAGCAGTGGTGGCTCTGGGCCGAGAGGCTGGCCCCGGTGTCTGGGGTGCCAAGACAAGAAATGGGCCTGTACCCAGCCTAGGAGGAGATACTCGTTGGGGGAGCTGGGAGGATGAAAGAGGCTGGGGGAGTCAAGGCATGTTGGGCGTGCTGGACTTACCCAGGGAAGGTGTTGGGACCAGGACCCAGGAGGCTGTACAGCCTAGGGAAGTAAAGGGAGGTCAAGAATTTTTTTTTTTTTTTAACTGCACTGATGATAGTTGCTTTTGCTCTGTACAGTTTCTTCTTTGGATGTTTCCATTATTTAAAGGCTGGTTCTTAATTTTCCTTTCTAAACTCCTATCCCTCATCATTTTAGAAGTGTTTCCTTTCCTAACTACCAATTTCTTACTGAGTCTTGTGATGCCAGTTTTTCTGCCCTGAGTTTTTCAAAATATCTTTACTTACTATTTTCATTTTTGTGTATGAGTGTATTGCCTGCATGTATATAAGTGTACCTGTGTTGTGCAATGCCCACAGAGGTCAGAAGAGGGCTTTGGATCCCTCTTAAGCACCAGTAACAGGTGTTATTAAAATAGCTGTGAGTGTTTCAATACTATTTTCATTAGCATATATTAATTGCACAAAATAATGGTTTCATTATATTTCATGCGTGAACATAGTAGTGTGCTTGGATCATGTTCAGCCCTCTGTTACCTTCACTTGTGAACACCATCCTAAAGGGTTCTTGTTGTTCCATTTATTTTTATCCAGATGACAGAGAACACATTTTGGTTGAAGAAGATAGAAATCAGTGTTTCTGAAGCCGAAAAGCGAACTGGAAGAAATGCCGTGAACATGCAGGAAACGTATACTGCTTACCTCATTGAAACAAGGTGGGTCCTGAGAATTAGGCTTGGCTGTGGAAAAGCTGTTTCTGGAGCCATTGTCTGGAGTGCAGCAGTGTAGGACTGAGATTGAAGAAGGTACAGTCAACTTTTTTCATCCCTTCAGAGGTTTAGGTTTGTGTTCATCAGTATCAGACGTTGTTTCAATATAAAAGTTTGTCTTTTAGAGTAGGTAGGGATGCTTTGATGTCTTGAGAATCAGTGTCTCATTATTTCATTCTTCTGATTTGAAAGACAGGGCTAGTGATGACATCTGCTTGTATGTGAGGATAAAATGAAATGTTCCATTTTGAAGTTGGACATCTGAACTGAAATAGATTTTAGTTATAGGTTACAGTTAAATCCTCTTTAAACCAAACTGTGATCTAATGTTCCTGTGTTTTTGCCATGAGAGCTATTTGTATATTTTACATATTTTTATATTGATTTTGGGATTTTATATTTTACTTCCTTTTTATTACTATGTAGTTAATAGATTTAATGGTAAGCTTGTGTATGTGCTTATTACTTGTATATAAGTAATAAATATGAAGCAGAGCATAGTAGTGCATGCCTGTAGTACCAACACGCAGGAGGCTGAAGAGGGAGGATCCTGAGTTTGAAGGCAGCCTGGGTTACATAGTAAAACCTTGTCTCCAAGCAGTAGTAATAAAAACAAGCAATAATTCCTTGGCACAATGGTGTGTCTGTAGTTCTAGTTACACAGGAACCTTAGGGAGGAGAATCAATCCTTTGTTTTTATTACTTGTCTTTTTTCTGTTCTGCTCAAAGGCTCACCCAGGGCTTCATATCTACTAGGCAAGTGTTCTCTCACCAAAGCACAGTCCCAGCCCAGCCAGGTAGATGACTTGATCCTAGGAATCTTGAGACCAGCATGGCCAGCCTAGTAATACCCATCTCAAAAAAAGAAAACAAATAGATGAGCAACTATTGTGTTGAGCATGGCAGGATAGCTACTTCTCAAAGGACTGTTAAGTGTGCCTTAGCTTCTGTGTCTTACATCCTGATGTGCAAATGCACATTGTAGTTGTATGTGCATTTCTTACAGGACAAATAAAGTTATTGTCACGCAAATAACTGGAAAATAAGGAGGTCCTGATAATGTTTAAAATTTTTCTGTGCCTGAGTGCTGTGGTGCATATCTTTAATCTCAGCACTCAGGAGGCAGAGGCAGGTAGATCTCTGAGTTCTGGGCCAGGCTGGTCTACATAGTAAGTTCTAAGCAAGCCAGGGCTACATAGTGAGACTGTGTCTCAAAACATGAAAGTAGCAGAAACCTTCAGTACCTTAAAACAGTGTTTCCACGCTCTTACTCTTACTTTTTCCCAATTATAATTTAAATTTTTATGTAGCTAAACCATGGTATTGCCTGCCAACTCTTTATAACTAAAGGTTAAGACTAGAGATGAGTTACTGTGAACTTTCTTCCTTACCCTTCAGAGCTGTTTACTCTTGTGGATGCCTCCTGTACTCAGATTCATCCGATTTGTTTATAACCTAAATTGAGATTTGGTGATCATAGTCTTTTTCGTGAAATTGTTCCCTCATTTTCCCAGCAATAAACATAAAAATTATTTTTATTTAACGAAATGATAACCAAGGCAGGTTTTTCCACTCTGTAAAATCAATTTTATACTGTGGCTTTTAGAATGTTCCTAAGACAATTCTTTCTCGTGAGTTCAAATAGGTTTTCTGTGACAGAAGGAAAGGACTTAGGAATGTGAGAGCTTTAAAATCAGATGATCAGCCGGGCCCACATGGTGGCGCATGCCTATAATCCCAGCACTTGGAAGGCAGAGGCAGGCAGATCTCTGTGAGTTCGAGGCCAGCCTGGTCTCCATAGTGAATTTAGACCAGCTAGGGCTACAGGGAGACCCTTCTAAAAAAAAAAAAAAAAAAAAAAAAAAAAAAAAAAAAATCAGATGGGTCTGAGTCAATGCACAGAGCTGGTAATTACAGGCAGAGCACATACCATGCAGCTGTGGCCCATCTGTAAAACAGGGGCAGTAAATCCCCACTTCCTAAGGAAATATAAGAAAAGTTCCTCAGCGACTGGTTCAGTAAACAGAGAAACACATTTTGAAGGCAGTAGTATGCTTTTTTTTAAAGTAATAGAAATGTTCTTTGGTATCATTTTAGGTCAGTTGAACACACTGATGGTCAGAGCGTCCTCACAGACTCACTGTGGAGACGATACAGTGAGTTCGAGTTGTTGAGAAACTACCTTTTAGTTTACTATCCACATGTTGTTGTGCCACCTCTTCCAGAAAAACGGGTAAGAAGCGAAGCAGCAGGCACTGAGAGTTCTCAGCTTGAGCCTGTTCTGACTGCCTGCTTTGTTCACCCAGGCAGAATTCGTGTGGCATAAACTCTCTGCCGACAACATGGATCCAGATTTTGTGGAGAGAAGAAGGATCGGTTTAGAAAACTTTCTGCTGAGGGTCGCTTCACATCCCATCCTCTGTAGAGACAAAATCTTCTATTTGTTTTTAACACAGGTATTTTTTTTTAATTAGTCTTAAAATAATCATTTGAATTAGGCTTTATTAGACTTTTTATCAGTTTATAGAATGCTGATTCTTGAGGATCTTTTGCAGCAGGTTTTTAAATGCAATTTGTGTTTGTGTTTGGTTCAGTTTCAATTTCATGTTATTAGTCCATCATTCTTTTAACTAAGATTTTTAAAGTTTTTATTTGTGTGTGTGTGTGTGTGTGTGTGTGTGTATTTTGTTGGGGGGGGGTTGGTGTAATGTGTGTGATATGCATGGGAGTACACCTGCCAAGGCACATATGGTGGCAGTCAGGACAACTTCATGGATCCATTCTCTCCTTCCCACCTTGATGTGCGTTGTGGGGATTGAACTCAGGTTGTCAGGCTTGTACAGCAAGTGCTTTATCTAAACGCTGAGGTATCTTGCCAGCCCCCTAACCAAGATTTTTATTCTTACAGATACTAAGCCTTTATTATCTAGTAGTAGTACCTAAATAGAAACTTAAAATGATCTTCAGTGCTATCAAGCCAAGTCGCTAAAATCTTGGGTCTATGTTATTTCATATTTTTGGAGTCTATATTCTTTAATTTTTAAAAATAATTTATTTTTGTTTTATGTATATGAGTATTTTGTTTACATGTATATAAATGCAGCTGTGTCATGTAGTACCCATGGAGGCCAAAAGAGGGCATCAGATCCCCTGGAACTGGAGATATGAATGGTTTTGAGCTGCTATGTGGGTGCTGGGAACTGAACCTAATTCCTCTGCAAGAGCAGCCAGTGCTCTTCACCACTGAGTCATCTCTCCAGCCCATGTTTAATTTTGAAGAGAATTCATATTCACTTGAATTAAGAACAAAATTATAGGAATTCAATTTATTTAATGTGGACTGTCAGGTATGGATTGTTTGGCTTTGTAGTGATGATCTCTACAATTGGCTTTAATTTTTAGGAAGGTAACTGGAAGGAGACTGTGAATGAGACTGGGTTTCAGCTCAAGGTAAGCATATTTTTATGAAGTAATTTGCCATGTTCCTTACAGTTCCTAGCATAGTAGTGTGCACTTAATGTGGATGTGGTTTTTGGTTTTAATGAGTAAATAGTAGGAATGAGCTTTACATCTAGCATCATTGGCAAGGTTTTCAAGGAAACTGCAATTCACTTTTGATTCATGTAATTTTAGTTCTGGTTGAACTATAATGGGCACATTTCTTAACTCTAGTAGGAAAGATTATTTTAAAGCAGTAATTTAACTGTGGTCTTTAGAGTTTTCCTACAGTGTTGAAGTACTTTCACATGTTTTTAAAATTCTACCTTGACCATTTAAATCACTTGTTCTCTGACACAGACACCTGAAACTTGAGCTTGGCTTTTCACATCATTAGTGGACTCAAAGATGAATCCTTTGTCATGCTCCTGGAATATGAGGCATGGTAACTAGTTTGAAATGAGCCGGGAGCCATCTTGAAATGGTGTCTGTTAGTGATATGGGCTTACACACATTAGCATCTCTATGTGGAAATGAGATTGCTGCCTGAAAATTGAGTGGCTCAGTAGTGATGAAGTGGCACACAACCCACTCTGCTCTCCAGATGGTTCCCAAAGGACACCTAGCACACATTATTATAGACCTGTAAAAGGTTTTGCCTCTGGTGTAAATCAAGTAAGTGGAGCAGACAAATATAAAATAGATTTGTAAATAAAATATTAAGTACAGGTCAAATACTTTTGTTTGAAAATCTGAAATTTGAAGTGCTCTGATACCCTAAATCTTCAAAATTTAAAAAATATTTTGAGCAGTATCATTCAGGAAGTTTTAGAATTAGGAGTGTTTTTTATTTCAGTTTTTACATATAGGAATGCTCAATTGGCAAAGTCTGTGAAAATATTCCAAAACCGAAAAAAACTCCAAAATCTGAAACTCTTCTGGTCCCAGCATTTCAATAAGAGATCTTCAACCTGTACTTAACATAAGATGATAAAAGATAAACTGTAGTGACCAGGGTAGAAAAACAAGTGTGTTCAGCAACTTAAAAAAGAGCTCAGGTTAGGTGCGGTGGTGTATGCCTGTAATCCCAGCCTGTGGGAGGCGGAGCAGGACGGTTAGACGTTCAAGTTTGAGGTTAGCCTGGGCTACCTGAAATTCTGTCTCAAAAAAACACAACCAAACCAACAAATAAATAACAACTCCTGGAGCTGTTGACAATAGGTATTTGAAAGTCAGCACAAAATGAACGGAAGACAGAAGCAAGCATCCGATTCTAGCGCAACTAACACTAATTTGTCCAGTGTTTTACTGGCATGATAAAATGTTCTTGATTACAGTTTAGCACTTGATGGTATTTAGAGGAAAATTTTGGAATTCTAGTTTAGGAATGGATTTGAAATAAAACATCTTAAAAGATTTCTGTTTTGTAATGTCGAAAATATTTGGGAGCTTTTATCTAATCCTTAACAGATTTTAGGGTTACCTCTTCACAAGGGTGAATGTTAGAGTAGCTAAAAGCCCCATTTTAAAAAAAAATGAAGAAGAAAGAGTACATGAAGTTATCAGGGAAAAAAGTGATGGGAAGATATGGGAGGAGTTGGAGGGGAGGGAGTGGGCATGGATATGATCAAAACACCTTATATGCATGTATGAAATTCTCAATAAATTAGTTATTTTTTAAAAATAAGTTAAAAAAAGATTTTCTGTTTTGAGAGAGTTCTCTGAGAAATATTCCAAGATATGTCAGAAGTGAATAAGGAAGCAATAAAGGTAAAATCAAGTGATTTGAGTGAATTCTGATATTTAATGTGGGTTTGGGGGGGTTGTTTGTTTGTTTTGTCTTTTTGAGACAGGGTCTCCCTGCTGTAGCCCCAGCTGGCCTAGAACTTACTATGTAGACCAGGCTGGCCTAGAACTCATAAAGATCCTCCTGCCTCTGCCTCCCAAGTGCTAGGTTAAAAGGCACATGCCTCCAGGCCTGGAAGTCATGGTGTAGACCAGGCTGGTTTCCATCTCACTAAGATCAGCCTGTCTCTGCCTCCCAAATGCTGAGATTAAAGGCATACGCCACCACACTCAGCTTTTCATTGCTTTAGTCATTAGAAACATTAATTGTCTATGTCCGATCTGTACTCATGCTCAGTTTTTGTCTGAAAGATAGATGATCTTAAGGAAACTCTTGACTTTCTCCTTTATTATAGACCGTTTACAGAATCCTTTGACTCTTACGTGTAGCTAGTATATAACTATTTAGATGATGCTCTGTATTTGGGTTGTAGTTAAACTTGAGTTTGACTTTTATGAAATATTTGAAAGGCAATACTTAATATACAGTGTTAACAATTTAAAAAGTCAGATGCTGGAAAAGTGGGAGATAATTCAGAATCTCGTTTAATTTGTTTTATTCCTTATTATTCTGGATACCTCATGTTTTAAGTATTTCTTCTTTCAAGGAAATGGGATCTTTGTACAGCCTCACATGCATAAGTTTGTATTTGTGCACATTCACATGAGGCTATGTACCTACATAGATAGGTGTATACACATATGCCCATATCTAGGATCACACTAATTACATGAAGGCCATGTATGGCAGTGACAGTTAATCTGGTCATAGGTAAAAACTGTCATCTAAGCAAAACTGAGTTCTGTGATGCTCAAGTGGATGTACATGGACCTCAGTTGTCAGGATGCTTTGTTCAAAATACTGAATCCTATGCCAGGTAAGATGGAGGCCAGCCTGGTCTGTACAGTAAGTTCCAGGAAGGTTGGGGCGGTAGAAAACCCAGTCAAAAAACAAAAAAAAAACAAAAACTGAATTCTAAGACTCATCAAGATATACTGATTCCTGTTGTTCTAAGGTGATAGATACTATTTTTAAGAAGATCATTTTATTTTTTGGTACTAGAAATAGAACCTGGGGCCTTGCACATGGAAAGAAGTACTCTGCCTCTAAGTCAGTTGTTTTAGAAAGATTGTCAAAATGAGGAAAATCTATATTATATATATTTGTGTGTATATATCTATTTGTTAGACTCTAAAGCAGAGGGCAAGTGAGATGTCTCCAGCAGGTAAAGATGCTTGCTATTAAGTCTAATGACCTGAGCTTGATTTCCAGAACCTACATGGTGAAAGGAGAAAACTGACTCCCCTCAGTTGCCCACTGACTTCTACATCTGTGCAGCGGTACATGAATGTATGCATACATGTGGACACATAAACACATACAAAATAAATGTAAAAAACTAAATGACAAAAATTAATAAACTCAGAAATCTCAAAAAAAATAATTTACTGATGCACCCTAGGGCCTTGGAAAAATAAGAACAAGCCAAACCCCAAATCAGTAGATGAAAAAAATTATCAAGATCAGGGCAGAAATTAATGAAGTGGAAACAAGCAATATAATCAATGAAACAGAGTTGGTTCTTTGAAAAGATAAATAGGATTGACAAACTCTTAGCCAAATTAACTCAAAGAAAGAGAAGACCCTAATTAATAAAATTAACGATGAAAGAGAACCATGGTGCTGGAGAGATGGCTCAGCAGTTAAGAACACCGGCTATCCTTGCAGAAGACCAGAGTTCAAATCCCAGCACCCACATGGCAGCTAACCACCATCCTAACTCCAGTTCCAGGGGATCCAACACCCTCTTCTGTCCTCCTAGGGCATTATATGAATGTACTTACACACATGCAGGCATAACACTCATACACATAAAATAAAAATAAATAAATAAAAATTTAAAAAAAGAAAAGGAAACCATTATAACAGATACCAGTGAAATTCAGAAATTCATTAGTTCTTACCATTAAAGCATATATTCCACTATATTGGAAAATCTTAAAAAAAGAATGTTTAGACACATTCAACCTACCAAAGTTAAACCAAGATGAATGAGATAAACAGATCTATAATAAGCAATGAGATTAAAACAGTAATAATAATTTTTAAAAATCTCCCAATGGAAAAGAAAAAACAAAAAACACAAGGCTGGAGAAATGACTCAGCGGTTAAGAGCACTGGCCGCCCTTTCAGAGGACCTGGGTTTGGTTCCCAGCACCCACATGGTAGCTAGCAACTGTCCATAACTCCAGTTTCAGGGGATCTGGCATCCTCTACTTGGCCTCCTTGTGCATTGTACAATAGGAGTGCACTGACATACATGCAGGCAGAGGCAGATCACATTCATAAAAATAATTTAAAAAAAAAAAAAAAAGGCCCAGATGGATTCGCTGCTGAGTTCCACCAAAACTTTAAAGAATCACTAACATCAGTGATTCTCAGACTATTCCATAAAATAGAAAAGAACACTATCAAACACTTTTTTCTTTTTTTAAATTTATTAATTTTTATTTAATAACCACATGATTAGAAGAAGCATTTCATTACAGGTTTAACATATTCAGTAACAATTTCCAGAGCAAGGATACATCTCTTTCAAAAGTGACTGTAAATTTGTAGATTCACAGTTGAATTAATAGTTATACAATATTGAGTTCAGTATAAATCTTGTAAGACATAAAATTGAATGAGGTTTTAAACTTTTCGAAAGATCTCTATTTCACTGGGTGTGGTGGTGCATGCCTTTAATCCCAGCACTTGGGAAGCAGAGGCAGGCAGATCTCTGTGGGT